CCCTAGGAGTGTGTGCCTAAAGCTGTGACACTTCAAAAGGACATTCCGTGGAGGAATGTAATCTCACTGATACGGTCTCAACATGAGACCATCTTGTTCACCTACCTCACCAAGTCCATGAAGGCATCTGTGGTCTGCACCTGCTCAATTCTGCCCTCTCGGTGAAGCTTGTCCTTAGATCCTTTTCCTGGGTGGATGATGATCACCATGAGGATGCCAATGAAGACTGCTATGATTGTGGTCACCATGTAGTAGACGACAGCCCGCATCCCCATCTTCCCTGAGGCTCTGCCATCCAGCGAGGCCATTCCTGGGGAGTCACACAGAGAGACAAGGTGGGAAGGTCTATTGTCTTACAGGGAAGGGGGAAGCCCGAGGAAGATTCAAAGTGTGCAGGGCACATGCGTGAGCTGGACGGGAAGCAGGGATCTCTAGGAAGCACAGCATACGGGGGCAGACTTTGGAGCTCCAAAGTGATGTTGATATGGGAGAATGTGGCTTGTGCTTATGAAGAAGCATAGCACCGGTGGGTCTTAGGCTCCATTTGGGAATGTAGCAATGTCCTCCTAAAGCTCTCAGAAGGGAAATACTCCCCTCCCAGTATATCGGGCCTTTAAGTCCCTAATGGTGGGATGTTTCAGCAGGTGGAATGTCTTGCAGTCCCTTCTGCTGTCTGAAAGCTTGGCAGGGGCAAGGGGAGGAGTTCATTGCAGTGTTAAACCCTATGGTCTGGTCCAAAGGGACCAGGGGTGGGGATTGTAATGGAAATACCTTTAAATTGTTGTAACCCATGATCTGAGTTGCATGTTACAGGAATTACTGTAGCAGGAACCACCCAAACCAGTGGAGGACAAGCCTTGCAAGCACAGCAGTGACCTGACCGGAGCTGGCTTTGGTGCCCAATAACTCCATGCAACACACCACCGCTCCTGTCCTGAGTGACCACCATCAGAGATGGAGCCCAAAGTCATGGACTAAATGAACTCAATGGACATTTTGTGGACATTTGTGGACATGTTATGGGCATTTTATGGACATTTTACAGGGGTGGTCCATAGACTAAGGGAATGATAGTTGTGTATTATATCAAAGGATGGGAAGGAGAGTGGTGTTAATGAGGTTGTACTGGATAGCGTGGTACCTGAGCGTGATGTAAATGGTATGGAATAAGGAGTGGAGAATGTGCTGGTTTTGGCTGGGATAGAGTTAATTTTCTCCACAGTAGCTATTATGAGGCTATGTTTTGGATTTGTGCTGCAAACAGTGTTGATAATAAGGGGATGTTTTAGTTATTGCTGAGCAGCGCTTACACAGAGTCAAGGCCTTTTCTGCTCCTC